CTCCCCACCCCGGGAGCGTTGGCGCCGCACCCCGGTCTGCACGCACAGCCGGCCACAAACCCGGGGGTTAAAAAGCAGCCCCGGCACCGTACTCGACCAAGGACACCCCTCCCGGCCACTGGGACCCTCGCGCAACTAACTTGGACGGCTGCGGCTCTGCGGTTAACCCGCCTGTGCGGCCCACAAGTGTCCGTGTGCAGCAGGAATACGCGCTACGCCCACCGGGAGTACGCCCCCTCCTAGCTCCACACCGACTCCTTCTCCGCAGTGGGAAAAATCCTGGTCCCTGCGCCCAAGGAAAACATCTCAGCCTTTGACTCAGCAAAGGCGGGCAAAGCACTGGCCTTAAAAACAAAACAACAAAACCTCCCTGCTTCCACCACACACGCCCCTGCAGGAATGTGCTTGTCAGCTGATGCAGCGCCCAGGGGCTGTGAGGACACACAGGGACCCCTCCCTGTCCCCGCCCTCCCACCTAAGATCCACTTCAGACTGGGAAGAGTGGAGAAAGCAGAAAGAAAGGGTACCCCGAGACCTCCAGGTACCAGTTTCCCCCAGTGGGAAATTCACCTGGCTCTGGATGGGGCCTTCATTGAAGACAAGACTCTCAGGCAGCCCCTTCCCCTACCCCTTCCCACCTCCCCTGCCCCGTCCCTAGCAGCAGTCTGGTTCTAGATAGACAAGCAGAGCAAGTCCCTTCTTCAGAGTGGCTTGGGCGCCTGTGACAGCGCAGGGCCTCTCTTTCAGACCAGGGGCCTCCAGAAGCACAGCCATGAGTTTAAAAATAAAGCTGGGCACGAAGAGTTTCCTTTCCTTCATTGCTCAAAAAAGGAGGCCAGAAACACTAACCGGCTAAGTGAGGAAGCCAGGCAGCCGGCTTGCCAAGTGCACTTTTTGGAGCACTGCACAGGACTTCTCTTCAAATAAGTCCCAGCATAGATTTTTACTCTGATGTAAATGGAGTCTCAGCTAAAAGGAAAGGCATTTTTCCCCTTCTAATTCAAAGGCTGAAATAGCTCACTAATTTTATGTGTTTTGTCATGATGAGATAGAACTACCTAAAAACGCAGCAGCTTTTATAAAGGAATCTGTTATGAAGATTAAGGGTGTATCTGACAGGCTTTGGCACCGCTGGAAACAGAGGACCTAGAGAGACACTGAAAGCATGTGAGATCTAGATACAATTATTAGTAAGGTGGAAACTAGAACACTTGAGAGGTCATAGCTTTGTTTTTTATGAGTTTCTATTTTTCTTACACATTCCCTATTTAATACATTTTTAGTTATAGACTGAATCAGATATGCCTTTCAAGACTGCTTTGACATCTCAAAGAGAAAGCCATAAACATGCATTTTGCATTGTGTTCCCCAACTGTTTCAATGTAGTCATCACTAAAAGAAGTGGCTTGTGTTTTTATACAGAAGACTTATTGTGAGCCCTTATAAAGCCTTTCTGCTTATGAGCTAAATTTATTATGTTTGCCAGGTTAATCTGCTTTCTCTAATCAGACACTTAATCATCCGGCCTCCTCCCTACATTATGGATTCAGGAATATCAACTGAAAAGGGTTGCTCAGTCAGGGCAAAATGATAAATTGTCTTTTCATTTTGGGGTATTTGTGATTAAATGCATCACAGTAGAATTAAAATGAAATAAATCTTGTATTTTTACTCCTAGATCCTTGCCAGGTATAGATAAAATGCATCTGATTAAAAGTGAATTCAGTTTGATGCCTGAATGAAATTTGTAGGAGAAACAGACAAAGCTTTACAGTTCAGGAGAGCTCTGAGTTCTCCCTACATTTCTATAGATTGAAGAGAAGTTAATCACTCATAGGTACTCTATGGATGAAGAGCACAGAATTAACATTTCCCTTCAGAAAGAATAAGAATTAGTCTTGGACAGTAATAGCCAAATTTGTCCGAATCTAGAGCTGTAATTCTGGGGTCTCAAGGGCTGCACATGGTATGTGATGGGAGGAAATGTTAGATTACAAGCAAATGACCAGTGTCTGTTATTTTGGCTTTCATATTAAGTGAAGCATCACCTGGGTGGCACTCTGAGCTGCTGCCTGATTGCGTTGAGAGGGTTGAAACATTGAAGTAACCATAATAGAGAGGATTTAGTCATACTTGCTGTTAAATGAGTAAAGTCCACATTCCAATAAAAGCCCTGGGAAAGCCAAGTCATTTTTTGCTTTTTTTTTTTTTTAGCACTTGGAGACTAAAACCAATTGGCATTGTGTAATGTTAGACAGTCCTCAAAAAAAACCAACCTATTTGGGGGTGCTCATTTTACAGTTAGCAAAGTATTTTCATATCCTTTATCTCATTTGAGCCTCACAAGAAACTCATGACTATGCAAGTCCTGGCAGTTGCTCTGAGTCGTGAGCCATGGCGCTCCTCACGCAGGGTCTGTGGGGTAGGACCAGCCTCTTAGTCAAGAGCTCTTCTTCTACCCAGACTCCCTCTTTTATCAGACTGTAAAAGCAAAGTCTTCATTTCAGAAGGAACAAAAACAAAGGACCTGCACCAAGGTAAATGAGACCTAGTGCAAAAAATAAATAAATATACATATATATATGTATACATATGTATATATAGTAAAGATCTCAAGGCTTTAACAGAGATATTTGCTGAGATGATCCAGAGGTGCCAGAGGCTNAAAAAACCCACAAAAACAAAGGACCTGCACCAAGGTAAATGAGACCTAGTGCAAAAAATAAATAAATATACATATATATATGTATACATATGTATATATAGTAAAGATCTCAAGGCTTTAACAGAGATATTTGCTGAGATGATCCAGAGGTGCCAGAGGCTGTTGGCTATATGAGCATAGTAAGTGAGAGTTGAGACAGTCATTCAAATAGTTCCAACCCCATCCCCCCAAATCCATGCTGTTCAAGTAAAAGCTTTTTTCTTAACTGGACTATCCAGGCAACATGTCCTCTCAGATTGGATTTTTGTACAAATTGCTTGAGCCTCCCATTCAATCTGCTTTGTACATTCTTGGTCAATATGATTGGAACTAGAAATCTGTTTTCCTATAGAGTTCTCATGTAGTGCACATTCAGGCTCTGTCATATCTCTGTGACTGCTGCTTCCCAATGGTTCTGTGCATTTGAAGTTACTCAGCTTGGTAAATTAAGCCGATCCAAGTCTCTGGAGCAGTCAAGGGGACAGACGGAGAGCAGAATGACTTAATGGAGCCCAGGTCAGGGGCACAGAAACCTATCAGCATTCGGCAAGAAAGGAAGGAAATGGCTATGCCTTCTATGGAAGAAGCTGCCTGCATTCTGCCCAGGGAAAAGACAATGGAAAAGCCATGGACAGTAAGTAAGGAGTCTTGGGTTCTAATCCCATTTCTGCCACTTGCTGGCTGCGTCACATGGGACATGTATAAAATGGGAAAAATAATAAAATAGCCTGCCATTTTCACAGGTTTGTAAAAAGGTCTTTTAAATATGCAAAAAGGGTAATATATAAGAAAGAATAAATTCACACAACACAATATACAGATGATGTATTATAGAACTGTACACTTGAAACTTATATAATTTTGTTAACCAATGTCACCTGAACAAATTTACTAAAAAATATTTTAAAAAGAAAGAATAAAATCAAACTATGATTGGTCGATAGATACAACACAAGGGTATCCTTAGAAATTACACTTACATTTCACCATATTTAGGAAGAGAAATGGCTAAATATATACAGAATATTTCTATTCTGCTGGCCATGTTTGCCTCTTTCCATTTTAAATTCCCAGTAAGTTGTCATATTTATGCGCTGTAACATTTACATAGCACAAATATCTGTCACTTAAAAGTGACACTGACAATATAGTTAAACCTTTATTTTCTTTTATTAGTCCAATAAATAAAACTACATCACACAAAAAAGGCCACAAATATAAATGGTTTTAGGGACTTTTCCCTAAAATTATACAATGCATTTGGGAAAAGGTAATTCTGACTTGGTCTTCCGTAAAATGCTAAATTTCTGCACAAAATCTTAAAGCACAAGTGTTTACAGGACTCTTGGTGACAAGAAAAGCTATAGTAAATGTGCCTTAGCTCTAAAATTCCCGTAGCCATGGAAACCCATGAAGTTTCATAAGTGTACATGCATGTGGCCTATGGTATTTATTGAAGGGCTGGGCCAGTGATTGGTGGTTACTATGCTCTGAGGGTTGACAGATTGCCAGGGGCTGCTCATCACAGGCATGGATGTTTTCCCTGCTAAATGTAATTACAGAGAAATTCAGAAATCTCAGACATTAGGGAGAAAAAGAACATGTTTATATATTTACATGTACTTATATCTCTCAGAATACAGTGAGTTAAATCAGATTTTTATTCAGAAAGGCTTGAGAAACCAGCAGTGTTTCTCTCTCCCCCCACACTTGCTGCTACATTTAAAAACTCTCTAGATTTGCTGTGTGTGCAGATCCATATATTCCTTAAATGTTTGGAGAGAATGCCACCAGTTTATCAAACTGATTATTCCTGGGATTAAAAAGTATTCCCGCCCAGCTGGCATGGCTCAGGAGTTGAGCGTCGATCCATGAACTAGAAGATCACGGTTCAATTCCTGGTCAGGGCACATGCCCGGGTTACCGGCTACATCCCCAGTAGGGGGCGTGTAGGAGTCAGTTGATCAATGTTTCTCATCATTGATGTTTCTATCTTTCTCCCCCTCTCCTTTCCTCTCTCTGAAATCAATAAAAACATATAAAAATAAAAAATAAAATAAAATAAAGTATTCGTGGTCAGTGTTTCCTAATGTGTAATGGCTTTAAAAGCAAAGAGCACATGGAGGGAAAGAATCACCTGCAGATATCTGAAGTCTTTATATAACAAGGACTAATATTCTAATAAGACAAAGAAGTAATACTAGTCAGAGAGGCATATTCACACAATGCTCTATTTTGTAAAATATATATGTTATCTCATTTAGTCCTTATATTAATCTTGATGGGCATTACCCATTTTCACTTCCACTGCCGAGTCTTTGATATTCCTTTAATATTCTTTCTCAAATATTATTCTAGATTTTAATGATTTAGAATGGTCTGTGTGTTAGTTGAAATATGTTAAAACAAGCAAAATTATAATGGGTTCTTAAGAATACTTTGTGTTATAACCTCATCTTTAATATACTTATTAAATATTTAAAATTATCTA